AGTGAATATTGGAGATGTCATTGGTGATGTGCGAGGTAGCTCCAGAATCAATCAACCAAGTAGGAGGAGACTTGGCACTGGAACGAGCACACATCGCTTGGAGCTTGGAAGGAGGAATTCGACCAGAAATCTCCGGATTCATACGATCATAACAATCAAGGGCGTCATGACTGGAATTGCCACAGATTTGACAAGGGGCTCGAGGACCAGAAGAAGAGCCTCGAGAGGGAGCAACAGTATTGGGGCGATTGTAGGTATTGGAGAAATTGTTGCCACGATAATGACCGCGATGACCACGATTATTGGAGAAGCGATTGGGCTTTCCACGATTCGAATTATACCGAAAAGAGTGCTGCAGAGGTTGATTCTGAAATACATACGCCTGAGGCGGGGTGGGAAGTAATGGGGGCTGAGTTTTGACCGATAAGGCATGAAACGGTTCAATAAGATTGGAAGAGGCAGCTTTCTTGCGACGAATCATAGAGAGTTCTTTGGTGAGTAACAAGCCGTGCAATTCATCCAACGATGTCGAGGATAAGCGAAGCATGATGGAATCCGTGAAAGACTCAAACTCATCAGGAAGCCCAGCAAGAGTGGCTGCAATGAGATCGCGATCAGAGATTGGGGCTCCAGCAGCAGTGAGAGAATCTGAGATTTCTTTGAGCTCTTGCAAGTAATCAGACATGGATTGTGATCCTTTTTGAATGCTTTGAAGACGTGATCGAAGCTGATGAACATGCGCATCAGAAATACCCCCAAATCGTTGCTCAAGTTTGAGCCAGAGATCACGAGATGACGAAACACCAACGGTGAACGGAATCACCTCCTCAGATAAGGTGGAATTGAACCAGATCAGGAGGTTTTGATCTTTCTCATACCAAACTTCAAACGCCGGATTCAGAGTGCGATCAGGCATAAGTGGTGACGGACAAGGTTCGGTACCATCAACTATACCAAGAAGACGATAGCGCCGAAGAATTGGAGCAAAAAGAGCACACCATGGGAGGTAATTGGACCGCTTGAGCTTGATTGGCACCATACTACCAATATTTTGGATTGTGAGAGAGGTATAAGGAGAGGAATTAGGGTTTGAAAAGGGATTAGGGTTTGGAATGGGAACCGACTCAGAAGGAGAAGCAGTCGCAGACGGAGATGCCATGGAAATCAAGAAACTAGATCAATGATCGAAGATCGGAATGACAAACGCAGCAAGAAATGCGATCGAATCGGGTAGAAATCAGAGAAGGAGAGCGGAAGAGAAGAGGATCGAGAAAAGCCGTGAGGCAATTGGCGATGAAACCATGAAGAAACTTAGAGAAATATCTTTCTGAAATATTACACTTTTCATTACCCAACTGAAATAATTACATGAGATGGTATATATAGGCATACCAGAAATAACAACTCTAACTAACATGTACACATAGCACATTACAATTAGGTAATTAAAAACAGAATGTATGTCATGATTTGGCATCCTCATCTTTAGCCATCGCAATCAACTCTAACTTGCCACGTTGCCAGCCGTCATCATGTTCATAAAAAAAAATTAAAAAAAAAAAAATGAAATCTTTATGCGGTCCCAGTATGCCCAAGAATGTCTAAAGCTTCAAATCTTTATGCGGTCGAAAGACATTCAATATTTCTACATGCTTTTTGTCTGCCTGTAGTGCATGTACAATCGATTGCGAGATGAAAAAGTTGCCTTTGATCCCACAACTGAGCTTTCTCAACGTCACTCACATCTTTTACATCCCCAGAAACCTGTACGACAAGACTACCCTGAAGTTTCAAGCGGGCTCCCCCTAATAATTATGACCCATCCCTTTAGCCAATTTAGCTCTTAACACAGGGTCAAGTTTTTTTTGTTATTAGGATAGGTGAAGTATTCTAGATCCATCCTCCGAAAGAACCGGACATGCTAATTTTTCATCATTCAGCTTGAGCATGAATCAAATGAATTCATATAAAAAAATCGATATGTTATCCATATCCACACATATATGAATGATTCTATGTAAGAAAACGGATTCTCTCTTTCGCTTCTCAGATCTTCAAATTGTAATGCTTCTTCCTTGTCACCGCCACACACAACAAAAGTATCCGGTATCTGCAAACTTGTTAACCTCCCAATCCCTTTTGGTAAGTACTCGAGAGAAGAACATGCTTCAATATAAAGATGTTTTAAGCTAATCAATTTTCCCATGTTATCAGGTAGTTTTTCAAGTGACGTGCACTCAAGATGGCGCAAGGTACACAAATTGTATAATTCACAAATAGTATCCGGTAATTTCTTCAAAACATCATTATTAAACAAATCAATATACTTCAAATGTATCACTTGTCCAATCTCCTCTGGGAGCTCTTCAAACCAATTTTCATTTGTCCATCCACCACACAAATCTAATGTCCTAAGGCATTTCAATTGCAAAATAAAATCCGAGCTTATGTATCAATTTCTGATTTAAAAGTTGTGAGTGTGCACAAATTTTTGCAATTGGAAGATGAGATAGCTGGTGGAAGTGGACCTCCGGGTATTGAAGTTAAGGTCAAATGGCGAACCTTATCATCCAATATTGCTATTTCATTGGTAGCACCCTTGATAGGTATTTTTATCACATGCAAAAGTAAGGATAAAAACACTTAAAAATACTTGTAAGAGAACAAGGTAGTTATAGTATAGTAGCTCAAGCAAGGTCGTTTTCTATAGGAATTGAATGAATAATATGTATTTAAACTAATTCTTAGCTAATTGTTTGAAAACAAAGATTGGAAAAGGTTGATTTTGAAACTAAAAATAATAAAAACGAATTTAATTAAAAGGATTAAAGAAATTAGCAAAGTAAAGGAAACAAAGGAAAACGTTTTGAAAACCAAATTGTAAAATGTCTAGGGTTATGCCGTCCCCTTAACAATCCTATGTAAATTTACTAATTACTTATGAATTACCCATACAACTTTGAAGGTTAGGTTTTCTTTATGCATGTTCTACTTGTGGCATTCAAGCTAGAACACATATCAAACATGCAATCCGTCTGTGACATTCAGATCAAAATAAACATGCATGACTCATTACGCTTTGTGAAAACCTTTTGAAAAACCATGCAACCCCTAAGACCTGGCATTCGCCCTAGGTGAACTTACAACTATTAATCACAAGAAGCAATATTCAATTCCCTGGTGGCATTCTAACTGAATTGCATCCAAGTACTTATCTAAACATCTTAATGGTCACGAATCATTAAGACACAAACACAGTTTAAAGCACATTGATTAATAATTCAAAGTATGCATGTATAATAGCATAAGCAATTAAATAAAAACTACATATTCATACTAAGGCTCAAGGTTTCACCCTAGCAAACGGAAATTAGTTACGAACAACCATAAAACAAAAGGAATTTTATTGAAATAGAAAAAAGATAGAAAACACCTTGAAATACAAATTGTCAAAGCCTAGCAAAGTTCTCCAAATTGATGCCCCATTTCTAATGGCTAAATAGCCTTATTTATACTTCTACAAAATAAAACCCTAAAAAGTCCTAGAATGAAACTAGGAAACATAATAAAATAATATAACTAGGAAATAAAAGGTTTCCTATTTGAACTAAAATTCAAAGTTCTCAGAAAATTAGTCTTTTGACCAACCAAATCAACTCCGATTTAGTCCCAAAAGGTTTCTTTTTAAAGCTTGAGACGTCTCCTACAAATCCTAAGAAGGAATCTTCCTCAAAATATGTCATCTTGACCTCCAAAATACCCAAAATGTCCATAAATGTCAATATGGGAAAGTTGCGCGCTTGGCCTTCTTTTATTCGCCACAGTCAAACGGCTTAGTAGAAAAATCTGAAATTTTGATACAATCATCTTGAAAGGCACACGAACATCATCCAATTGGAATCACTCCAAAATTCATCCGTTTGTTCACTTTATGCTTAAGAGGAAGTCGAATGTCCTACATTGAAAATTATAATCCAAAGTATCAAAAATCTCACAAAATAACCAATAAATTAATACTAAGATAAGGGTAAAATATCAACTCATCAGCTCTTACTCTCAATAATCAAGCATTCATTCTTGGTGAGAAATTGCATAAAGTCATGCACAATATCATGCATTTTGCAACCTATAACCTTACCACTGCCACGATCTTTCTCAAAATCTTGGAAAAAATAACGTGCTACTAAGTTGTCAAAATATGTTTAACCAATCATTCCCTTATCTTTATTCCCTTTCAAATTAAGATAATCTTGTGCCATCCAAAGATTAATCAAACAATCTCTGTCAAACTCATAATCTTTAGGAAAAACAGCACAATATAATAGGCACCATTTACAAACTACCTAAAGTCTTTGCAGCAAGAGGCAGACCTTTACACTTCTTTACAATTTCCTGACTAATATCTTCAAACTTCTTAGACTCATCTACTTCCTTATCATAAAAGGCCATGTGATTGAAGATTGACAAACAAGATTGTTCACTTAATTCTCCCATACTGATCATGTGACTTGTTGCTCTCATCATATCGGCAACCTCATGTTTTCTTGTGGTCACCAATATTCTACTGCCTTTAGCACCATTTTGGATCAATGCTACCTCTAATTGTTCCCACTTTTTACGGTCTTGGGTCCACACATCATCAAGGACAAAGAACAACCTACACCAAGTCCTAAAGTGTTGTGATAACTACTACGCAACCTACGGAATTGAAGAAAGCCAAGGTTAACAGCCTAGTGGTTATACGGACTTGTCTGCTTCTATAAGTAAGGCGTCCGGCTACCATCCCTATGGCTAACAACTTTGCAAAGTTCTACACCAACACCTATGGCTGCATAGGCTACACGGGCCTGTTTACTTATAGAAAAGTAGCACGTCTGCCACTGGTCTATAAAGTTTAAAGGTTAGGGCATGAACAAAAAAAGCGAAGATGGAGAAAAGTGAAGGAAACAATTTTATTAAATTTTCTAACAAAATTGATAAACAACTATCAAAGATCGAAGGAGTTCAAGCAAAGCAAAAACAACAAGGAAAACAAAGAAAATCTCAAAGGCTACCTAGAAGACTACTCTTCAGCAGCTTGGACATCCCACGACAACTCAGTCGCCATACCTTCAGCAGTCGTAACGCTCTAAACAGTGGCACCATCCGCCGCTTTACCCTCAGCTGCCCCAACCTGGGCACCAACTTCTTCGACTACTTCACCAATAGAAGACTCAAAAGTAAAGGCGAGCAAGTCTTCCAGAGAAATATAGAATGTCTCGAAGTCTTTACCAAAAAGCTCAAAGTCAGACGGCTGCCCAAAGAGATGGTCCACATAACCCAACTTGTAGAAATCAACTTGACTCTGAGTAAGCGAAGCCTCGAACTCAAACTTCTCACCCTTCAACTGCTCATTCTCCTTAAGCAGACAACCACGGACTCGCTGCAGCTCCTCCATTTCTTTCTTCAGATTGTCGTTGATTTTCAAAGCACTTTGGAGTTCCAACACTTGAGGCTCAAGCCTATCAACAACCTTCTTGAAGTGGATCACTTGGTTGTAAGCAACGATCAATTCTTCATCCTTTGCGTAAGTAGCTGAGCTGGAGACGGCATGCTCAAGGTCTTGAATCTGAGGTATGTAACACCCGTTCTCCTTTTCTGCACTTTCATACTTTACTTGAATCGGAGGAACTTCTACGCTGAGCAATCCTATCAGCAATCGAACTAGCCACCTTTGGAATGACAGACGTCATCAGCATGGATCTAGCAGCCTTATCATTCTCACCCTTGGGAGAAGTCAAGTCAATCATAAGCTTAGGGGCAGCCGGCGAACCCTCGCAAGTAGTGGAAAAAGTCTTTGGCTTTTTATCAGCTAACATCTCTTGAGCAGGCGTGGAAGGTCTCTTTTTCCCACCTTCACTTACAGCAGGCTCTACGATGGCGATCAAACAAGCTAATGCTTTTGCCTCGATCCGCTTTATCTCCTCCCTTGAAAGCAGCCCACATTTCTCCCTACGAAAAGGATTAAGCAGTCAACGCCACTCACGGTACTCGAAGGGATACCCAGTGCGACATGCACTTTCTTCATGTCTGGAGAAGTCTTAAGAGTTGAGCTAAACTCCAAATCTACCAAAGCAGTGGGAGACAATCAGAAAATTAGAGAGCAGCTTAGCACAAATACAAAGCAGTCGAGAGTTTAAGCAGCCTACTTAACGGATATGAAGATCGTTGGAACACGTAGCTTGGGGGAAGAATCAGACTCTCATTCTCCACTTATCTCCAAAGTCTCCCTGGCCAGTCATGATCTCCCTTGCTCGAATGATCAAAGAGCCTATGGCGAGACCATAGCTACCCAACTCCTTCAATGGCGGCACACCATCATCGTTTTTATGACTTGAGGAAGACATGCTTGAAGAAATTCTACAAAGATGCAAGGAAAATTCATTAGACGGCCACTTGAAAAAAAAAAAAAAAAAAAAAAAAAAAAAAAAGGGTGCGGCACAACAGGCCTCACGGCCCAAGCAGTTCTCGGTCTCTCTCTCTCTCCTCCAGGACACCGGCCCAGGCCCTTAAAGCAATAAAAAAACAAAAAAGAAAAAGAAAAAAGGTATCAGGCCTCACGGCCCAAAAAAAAAAGAAGCAACAGCAGCCAGCGGGCCGCAGCTTGGTCCGATTCCACGGCCCAAAAATCCCTTGGCCTACTCCTCTTCTTCCCCAGGCACGGGCCCAAGGCCAGTTTTTTTTTTTTTTTTTTTTTAATTTTAAAGATGAGGCCCTCGCCCGCCATTATAATCCCAAAAACTCCAACTTGAGCAACCGGAACCAGCTTGCTGACCAAACGCTTTGGAAGGGGTGGGGGATAGTTCGAAAGTTCAACATGGATTCCAGGAAAAGAAGCCTCCAACATCTTCGTCATTGTTACCGCATTTCCCCTACCAAATGCAAATTCTTTCGAAAAGTAAATATAGCCCAACCCCGATGATCCAATCTAACATGTTCAGAGCAAAATAAGTAGAAAACCACATATTCTCGGAGCACTAATTCGGAGCTAACAGATAAATCAAGAGGATTTTACAGGTTAACTGATAAACCCCAGGATCCGAATAACAATTCAATTTCAAATGAATAGCTGTTCAAGTTGATCTTCTATTATCCCACATCATAATTCGACATAAAATTAAAACCCCAATTCAAGAAATCACAAAAGAAACAAGAGAATTACTTGTAAGAGCAAGAAGTGCAGAAGCTAATCTTGACCGTGCTGCCGACGCCGATGGCACCGAAAGCGCTTGGTTTCTGAAATCCGATAAAACCAAAGAATTACAAACGGGAATTAGAATACGATAAAAATATGCAATCAATTGCAACAACGATTGGGAATTTAAGAGGAATTCAAATTGAAATACCTGTGAGGGAAACTCTAGGGTTTCTTTGGCGACTGGAGGAGGTTGGTGTTGGTGTTGGTGTTGGAGGTGGGGATGGTGGTGGTGGGGAGGCTTGTGGGGCGGAGGAGGGGGCGGAGTGAAGAAGTTTAGGAGGTCGGTGCAGAAGAGGAAGAGTGGAAGCCCTAGCAGAACAAGCTGTGCTCGATCCATTGATGCAATCAACAGAAACTGTAGAGAGAGACGCAGAGAGAGAGAGAGAGAGAGTAGGAGACGAAGGTTGCCTTGACTCTACCAACCTCAAGGAGACTTTCGGCTCAGTTCCTTCTATGTAACCCAAATAAATTTGGGCTTCTGGCCCATAACTAGCACATTGATGGTCATTTTTCTCATTTTAGACGAATATGAACAATAGAGGGGGAGATAAACACACACCGTTTGTAGCTTCACACATCTTTATTTAACGGGAGTTTTAACGAAAAGTTTATGGTGCTATTCACTTTAAAGAAAAACCACATTTTTACACTAAAAAGTCAATCCTGGTACTATTCACTTTACCCTTTATTTTGTCTTTATCATTAAAACTCAAAGTTTTCATATTTTTTTCATTAGTTTTCCTTTATTTAATTCAGTCCGTTGATTTCGATTGATTTATTCAATCCGACGACCAAAAATAAAGAGACGTGCATAAAGCTAAAATGAGTGAAAATTACCTCCTTAAAAGTAAACGCTTTTACTTACTTGAGTTACATGTGTTTTGCTAGACAATCGCTTTCTTTGGAGAATTATATAGAAATTTTATGAAGGAATTTTGATATGTGAGAAGCTTGAAATTCAATTGGTTAAGAGTATTTATTCATTAAACAAAATCGCTTGCCTAACAAATAAAAAAATACATTGGTTTGGATACCCAAACAAGTTTACAAATCGACCAAAATTAAACCTTTTACAAGTTACATTTGATTTGATATAATAGAGAATTTAACCCTAAAAGTATAAACTGAAGAAAAAAAAATTAAATAAAAAGAAAGGAGGACGAAGAGCATGACATCCATTGATAGCAAAGAGAAAAAACCGATAAACTCTTCGTAGATAGAACGATAAATACAACATAACTTAAGTCGTTAAGAACGTTCGTCCATACAAAGTCAAAATTACATTTTTTTTTCTTTTTCTTTTTTTTTTTTTTAGAAAACCTCGATGGTACGAGGGAAATTTTATTGATAACGAAAAAAGAAATTACATCTAGTCAGGGGGGGACATAAACCCAACCCCTCATAGTACAAGAAAAAAAGGAGAAAAAAGGGTGCAAAAGAAGGGAGAACATAAACCTAACCCTTCTTAGTACAAGGAAAAAAGGAGAAAAAAACAACATGCAAAAGAAGGGGAGACATAAACCTTACCTCTCTAGAAACGAAAACAAAAAAGATACAAGAAAGTGAGACAAACCCAGAGCTTAAATCAAATCATGGTTTGATAGTTGAAGAAATTACCCATCAGCATCAGTAATCCTCCGATTGCAGTAAGAAGATGTTGGGACTAAGTGCGGCATTGCTCCTGATCATACATATCCCCACAGGAGTACAGGACAATTTAAACTTGATGATCATCATGTGCCATATGAAGATTATGCTCCCTTAACAAATCATGTCCAGAGATCATATGAAGATTTAAAAGAAAAATAAGAAAACAAATATAATGGCAGTGACTATTAATAATCTCATACATAAATATCTACATAAAAGTTCAATTACCAGAAGAAGTGGACGAGATTGGTATTTTCAGAGTTCGTACTCTGAAATAAGCTCCAGGGTCCGCCAATTTCTAGTTTCAGGATGCATTAGATTTGGAGCCCTCCGTTCGGACAGAAAATGGATGTTTGGGATATGAGAAATCTTGGGCCACTCCTCTCCACTGCCTTCTTCGCGAAGCTTTTCAAGGATGCTCGAGCATCTGTTGACGATAAGATTCTGTAGTGGTACCTTGCAAAGGAAGTCTGGTAGTGTCTTTAAGTTACGGCAGAAATAAATTTCCAAGTACGAAAGGCATGGCATGATTGTAATTTCAGATTCTTCTTTCTTCCACCCTTCCACACCTTCCCACTCTTCCCAGTCACCCATTTTGCGAAGGCGGAGTTCTTTCAATTTTGGGAATAATGATGGCGATGATTTGAATGATGTTTGATCTTCCATTCCCAAAAATTCACCACCAACCTTTCTCACTCCTGGCATCCCATCTATGGTCAGTATTTCAAGGGACGGAAGTTTCCCAAGAGGAGGCAAAAGTTCACACTGTTCCCACCCTACTATGGTAACGATTCTCAAGTGGTTTAACGATGCCATCCAAATTGGCCAGGCGGTCCCAGTATGCCCAAGAATGTCCAAAGCTTCCAAATCTTTGTGCGGTCGTAAGACATTCAATATTTCTACGCTGCTTTTTGTCAGCTTGTAGTGCACATCTCTACAATCTATTCCAAGATGAAAAAGTTGCTTTTGATCCCACAACTGAGCTTTCTCAACCTCCCTCACATCTTTTACATCCCCAGAAACCCGTACGACAAGACTACCCTGAAGTTTCAAGGTTCTCAGATCTTCAAACTGTAATGCTTCTTCCTTGTCATCGCAACACACAATATACGTATCCAGTGTCTGCAAACTTGATAACCTCCCAATCCCTTTCGGTAAGTACTCGAGAGAATGACATCCTTCAATATAAAGATGTTTTAAGCTAATCAATTTTCCCATGTTATCAGGTAGTTCTTCAAGTGCGACGCAGTAGAAAAGGCGCAAGGTACACAAATTGTACAATTCACAAATAGCATCCGGTAATTTCTCCAAACTACTATTATAAGACAAATCAATATGCTTCAAATGAATCAATTGTCCAATCTTCTCTGGGAGTTCTTTGACGTAAGTATAACCTATCCATTCACCACTCAAAATTAATGTCCTAAGACATTTCAATTGCAAAATAAAATCTGAGCTTATTGCAGTTATTTTTGATTTAAAAGTTGTGAGTGTGCGTAGATTTTTGCAATTGGAAGATGAGATAGCTGGTGAAAGTGGACCGTGGGGTACTGAAGCTAAGGTCAAATGGCGAACCTTATCACCCAATACTGCTATTTCATTGGTAGCACACTCACCCTCAATAATCAAGCATTCATTCTTGGTGAGAAATTGTAGAAAGTCATGCACAATATCATGCATTTTGCAACTTACGACGTTACCACTACCACGATCTTTCTCAAAATCTTGGAAAAAAGAACGTGCTACTAAGTTATCAAAATATGTTTGACCAATCATTCCCTTATCTTTATTCCCTTTCGAATTAAGGTAATCTTGTGCCATCCAGAGATTAATCAAACAATCTTTGTCAAACTCATAATCTTTAGGAAAAACAGCACAATATAATAGGCAACATTTAACTGTTGGGGTCAAATCATAATAACTTAGTAATAGTGGTCGGAAAACTTTTTGCTCGACATCTTCTAGATCCCATATTTTACTGCTCAAAACATCTTTCCATTCTCTCCGTGTTCTCTTGTTGTGCATCAGACAACCTAAAGTCTTTGCAGCAAGAGGCAAACCCTTACACTTCTTTACAATTTCATGACTAATATCTTCAAATTTCTTGGACTCATCTACTTCCCTATCATAAAAGGCCATGTGATTGAAGATTGACAAACAAGACTGTTCACTCAATTCTCCCATACTGATCATGTGACTTGTTGCTCTCATCATATCAACAACCTCATGTTTTCTTGTTGTCACCAATATTCTACTGCCTTTAGCACCACTTTGGATCAATGGTACCTCTAATTGCTCCCACTTTTCACGTTCTTGGGTCCACACATCATCAAGGACAAGGAGAAACCTTTTGCCCTCAATGAATTTAGACACACGTTGCAAGACATCGTCCAACTCATTTGAACTCGGGGGGTCATTACCAATAATAGCTTTGGCAATCTTAATCTCCTCAAAAGGATCTGACACACAAACCCATATTCTCTTTTCAAAATGGGTTTTAACTTTGGGATCATTATACACTAGTTGGGCCAAAGTTGTTTTGCCCATTCCTCCCATCCCTACAATAGGGATGACAAGGGTCCCCCTCCCTTGTTCACTACTATCAGTCAACAACTTTGTTATCAAAACATCTTTTTCGTTTTCTCGTCCAAAGATGTTAGATACATCGACAAAAGACGAAGTTATCCGTTGTTCAAGTCGTTGAGTGCCTTTCTCTATGTGAAACCCATACATTTTTCTTTGCTTATAAATCAAAGTTAAACTCTCATTCAGCTCTTTTATCCTAGAAGCAATGTCATCACGAAGAAAGACCTGACTGACTTGGCCAAAACAAAAGCAACCAGAGGAAACAGAAAATCTGACCTTCTTTTCAGGAACAAGAGGAGCTGCACCTTCTCTTTCTTGCTTCTCAACCTGTTGCCTCAGAACGTCATAGTTCCACTCGTCCAGCACATCCCCCATCTGGTAAGATATTTCCTTGAGGTCATCCAACCAGTTTCTCACGCTTTCATCCTCCACTTGCCTTCGATCTGCGTCCCGAAGCACAGCTTGAATAGCTTTGAGATTGCTAGTGAATTCTTGAACGTATTTCTTAACGTTCAAAACATTTTCCACCTTATCTTCTATGTAATGAAAAGTTGCTGAAGCCAATCGCTCTAGCAGCACGGAAACAATCGCATCAGCCATGTTTAGTGTTTGGAATCAACTGACAGTGGATTGGTGAAGCAAGTAGGGAAGTATGTATGAAGAAGAAAGGCAGGATGGTTGTGCAAGTGTCCTTCCTGTACCAAGATTATAGTTTTCAAGGCAAACGCCAAGTCAATTATATTACGTATCCTAACCTTTAATTCAACAAAAATTAGGCGGGGACACCCTGTCTTGATACATGGATCCAGCTAACTGAGTTGAAAATTCTCCAAATTATAATATATTAAAGCCAAATAGTCAAATTATAATGCATAAAAAATTTCAAGTGACAATATTCATTTCAAGTTTTAAGCCATCAAAGTTGGACAACAAGAACAAATAATTAAGTAATGAGGGGTTGGTGGTGGGTGACAATTACAAATAATTAACCATCATAGTTGGATTACTAGAACAAATTATAATGCTGTAGTATAGTTAATTAAGTAATGAGGGGTTGGTGGGTGACAATTACAGATGCTTAGCTGCTTAACCCAAGAATTAAATTTAAATTTAATGGAAAATAACAGCTTTGCTGTAATATGCCAAAGAGTGTTTCTTGAGCTTAATTACCATTTTACAATTAACAATTTATTGACTTTTTAATTAAAGATAACTTTAGTTTGGAAAATACCTGTAACAAGAATCCTCAGATTTCTCCGGAAGCTGGAAGTGATGATGGTGGTGAAAACCCTAGCAGAACAATCTGTGATCGATCCATTGCTGCACTCTACACAGATGAGAGAGAGAGGAAGACGGTTATTTGGACCTTTTGAGATATTGGTATCAGCTCATTGCGTGTTGTAGCCCAAATAATTTTGGCCTTCTAGAACGAATACGTTTTATCGATTTCTGCACTAAAGTTTGGATCCCGGTTAAAGTATTGTTTGGGCAGTGGGCACCCAATTTTTATCTTTAGACGCGTATTCTTTGGACACTCCCAATTAAACATACACAAACCTTGTCACACGCTTATGTGTTTAGCAATTGGTTTTTTTTTTATTTTATTTTATTTATTGTTTAATATATATATATTTTTTAATTTTACTTATGGTAGATATTATTATTTTCATTAAAATACAATTTAAAAAATAATAAACGTGAGTACGTGACCACTCATGGTCTCAATATGTAGGTTTTTTTTATGATTTTTATTTTTATTTTTTTGACATTCTAATGGGAAAAAGGGTATTTGGATATTATGAAAGGTTCGCCTTTTTTGCCTTCTCTCTTTATCTAATCTAAACTACATATTAATGAAACATTCATCGTCAATCAAAACATAATGAAATTACCACTCTGACATTCTAATTAAAACTGAATAGAAATAAAAATTATGGACAATTCAGTAATTACCTGAAACGTATTTTATTGTTTTTTACTTGAACATCACAGCTAGATAATAATAACAGTTCTATTTAAAAATTAAAATTAACTTGAAAAATTGGCATCTGCAATTGAAATGATTGGGGCTGGGGATTTGGTGGGTATAGTTGGGGGCCATGAGAAGTGGGGATGTACGAGTAGGGAAGGCAGGGGAAGGCGGGGGAAGTGGATTGGTACAGTGCGAAAAAAGGTTGAGAGATGGAGAAGAGAGAGCAGCATGCATGCATCAGTCTCTTTTTCTTTATTTTATTTTCTTTTATTTTTCTTTTTTAATTGTCATTCTTGCTCATGATAAGTTGCAGTAAATTAAAAAACAAACTTAAGTGCATACGTAAAGCGCGCGTATTGATTGCTAGTGTACCTATTTACAAAATATTTTTTATCAATCAAAAGAGGATAAAAAGGCAATTTGATCTTATATCACAAAATAAAATTATCGTCAATAATGTAACTTTTTACAAACCAAATCTTCTTGTTTTTTTCTTTCCTCACCCCCATGACTTCAAACCATATGTCTAAATTTAAAAAATAAAAATGCAACACACTATTCATGACGACACTTCACATGAAAAACTTTAGGGGGCTGGTGAAGAAAAATATTTTGTGTTTTCTTGCGATTTCATCTACTCTTTGGCCTTGTTTGTTGTCTAAAATTAGCTTGGATAGGATAACTCACGGGACGAGGCCTCTATTGTCACAAAACTAACAATCTAGAATAAATACTCCAAAGCAAAATTGACAAAAACATTGTTTATTTGCTAGAAACTAAACAAATCACCAAATACAAGTATCCTTCTCAAGGTTTTTGGCAGATAATGCAATACAGAAAACATTTCATATCTGCCTAACCCCAAAAAAAGAAAAGTCAATTGGACTTGCCCTTGAGACTTTTGAAGAGCTTGGGGTCTGTCTGGTAGTATACAATGTCTCCGGTGTCACTAACATAGTGATCATTGCTCATGCTTGACAACAGATTATCAATCAAGTGAACCGGAAACGGCCCGGATTTCTTTGGCTCCCGGTAGTACTTCCCCAAAACCGGTTTAGCTGCCTTGGTCTGCAATATAATCATGTGAATTGCTAAAGTTTGAATAGAAAATGTGGGGTATTGTTGGAACTGTGTTTTCTGTGGGACTTGGAGTCCCACGTCGCCCAAACATGTCTCTCATTAAGTCTTTATAAGTGAGTTCACTCACTTATAGTTTGAAAAGAATTGGGCCAAAGCCATGGACCTTGGGCCTTAGAATTGGAGAGTTTGGGTGTATATATTAAATGTCAAAGATGGGCCTTGGGCCTTGGGGCTCTTGGGCTCGGATGGACGAAAAACACAAGTTACGTTTTTGATTTTTTGGATTCAGTTTTTGACAGTTATGATCAGTTTTTGTGAAAGGTTGCATTCAGTTTTCTTTTTACAAAAATTTGATAAGAATGAACGGTTGGAGAAGTTCAACTGATGCCATTATATATATGGCAATAAAACTCAGAAACCATAATTAAGTTTTCCAGATTCATTCCTTCATATTTCGCTGAGAACCACACAACCAATTCGCCAAGAATCCAAGTTCGAGTGCAAGAACTTGGATTAGATAGTTGTATCCTGCAAGATAGACGTCCATCGAACTGCTGCACAAGTGTAGGGACGAGTTTCTGTCTTAGGAGATTGCTCTGCAAGCCTCTATCGTCAAAGAACAAGTCAGTGATTTGTGTTTCTATATATAATTACACTAAGTGTTTATGTTTTAATATATTGTGTTTGTTGTTGAGTTTTACCATTTGTAATAAAACTGTGCAAATTGTTGTATAATATATGCTTAACGTTTGATTGGTTATAACAATCTAAGACAGAAACTATGGATCAATCAAATGTTGGTGTTGTCAAGCAACATGTTGAGAAACCTGAGAAGTTCAAGGGAGTTGATTTCAAACGTTGGCAACAGAAGATGTTGTTCTACTTAACAACTCTGAACTTGAGTCATGTGATTACTTCTGAGTCCCCCAAAGCACCAGAAGAGGGAGACATTCCTGCCGAAATTCTGCAGGCTATAGAAGCCTGGACTCACAGTGAATTTCTATGCAGGAACTACATTCTGAATGCTCTAGATGACTCTCTGTATGATGTTTATTCATCATATAAGACAGCGAAAGATCTGTGGGAGTCTCTGGATAAGAAGTACAAGTCTGAAGTGGCAAGTTCCAAGAAGTTTGTAATTGGAAAATTTCTGAATTACAAGATGAGTGACAACAAGTCTGTTGTCAAGCAAGTTGAAGAACTCCAAGTGATTGTTCATGAGTTAGATGAAGAAAATCTTGGTCTGAAAGAAGGCTTTGTGGTTGGCTCTATCATAGAGAAACTGCCTTCGAATTGGAAGGACTTCAAGATTTATCTGAAGCATCTAACTGAAGACATGAACATGGATCAGTTGATTCTCAAACTGCGTGTGGAGGAGGATCATCGAAAAAATGAGAAGTATGATGTCTCATCGCTGGAGGCAAAGGCCAATGTTGTGGAAGGAGGTGACTCACACAAGGCAAGGCACCATCAGAAAAACAAAGGCAAGGATGCTGCAAAGAAAGCAATGACTGCTGTGAAAGGGAAAACCTTCAAGAAAATCAAAGGAGGTTGCTGGGTTTGTGGAAAGACAGGTCATAGGGCAAAGGACTGCCGCCATAAGAAGGATCAGAATTCTGGAAGTTCCAATCAAGCAAATGTTGCAGAAGACACATTTGTTGCTGTTGTCTCTGAAGTCAATTTATTGACTAATTCAAATGACTGGTTTGTTGATACAGGAGCAACAAGGCATGTGTGTGCTGATCGAAATTTATTTGTTACTTACCAATCTGTTGATGGTGGAGAAAATCTGTACATGGGAAATGCAACTGCGTCTGCCGTTGCAGGGAAGGGAAAAGTGACGCTCAAACTCACTTCCGGAAAAGAGCTTTCACTTACCAATGTTCTGCATGTTCCAGATATTCGTAAGAACCTGATTTCTGGATCACTTCTGAGTAACAAAGGTTTCAAAATTGTGTTTGAATCTGATAAGTTTGTAATCACCAAAGGTGGGATGTATGTGGGAAAGGGCTACCTGGCTGAGGGGCTCTTCAAAATGAATGTACTTTCTGTTAATGCTATGAATAACAATAACAAGCCAAGTGCTTCTTCTGCTTACTTGATTGAGTCCTCTACATTATGGCATGCAAGATTAGGTCATGTTAATTTTCGTTCTCTTCAAAGAATGGTTAACTTAGGCCTATTGCCAAAATGTTCCATGAACAAAGTATCTAAATGTGAGATATGCACAGAATCTAAATATGCAAGACACTCATATAAATCAGTGGAAAAATCCAACGAAATACTTGGTTTAATCCATAGTGATCTTTGTGATTTCAAATCCACACCAACTCGTGGAGGAAAGAACTATTATATTTCCTTCATTGATGATTGCAGCAAGTATTGTTATGTCTATTTGATTCATAGTAAAGATGAAGCTTTAAACATGTTTAAGACATTTAAAGCCGAAGTCGAAAATCAACTAGACAAAAGAATAAAGGTCTTAAGATCGGATAGAGGTGGTGAATACGAATCTAAAGACTTTGCAGAATTTTGTTCAACACATGGAATAATACATCAAACAACAGCACCATATACTCCTCAACAAAATGGAGTGGCTGAACGGAAAAATCGTACATTGAAGGATATGATTAATTCCATGTTGAACAGTTCTGGTGCACCACATAATTTATGGGGTGAGGCACTCCTTGCTGCAAATACGATTTTGAACCGAATTCCACATAAGAAGACTAATCAATCTCCTTATGAAATCTGGAAAGGTAGGTTACCTACATATAAAACCTTGAAAGTGTGGGGTTGTCTTGCAAAAGTTCAAGTGCCTCTTCCGAAGAGACAAAAACTTGGACCAAAAACAGTGGATTGTATCTTTATTGGTCATGCCTATAATAGTTCGGCATATAGATTTTTGGTTCATAAATCTGAAATTGCAGACATTCATATAAACACTATACTTGAATCTGCAGAAGTTGAGTTCTTTGAGGAAATTTTTCCTTACAAAGATAGGTCATATGTTTTGAACAAAAGAGTACATGAGGTTACTACAAGAAATGATGACGATAATCATGCCTCAACTTCGAGAGTTCAAATCCAAGATTTGGAACCACGAAAGAGTAAAAGAGCAAAAATTGCAAAGGATTTTGGTCCTGATTTCCTCACTTTTGTGACTGAAGAAGAGCCTCAAACTTATAAGGCTGCATTAGAATCGTCTGAAGCACCTTATTGGAAAGAAGCTATTCAAAGTGAAATAGAATCCATCATGCAAAATAATACATGGGAATTGGTTAATTTGCCTCCTGGAAATAAACCAATAGGACACAAATGGATTTTCAAGAGGAAATTGAGACCGGATGGTACCATAGACAAGTATAAGGCTCGTTTAGTTGCCAAAGGGTATCGTCAAAAAGAAGGACTTGACTATTTTGACACTTATTCACCAGTAGCTAGAATAACATCTATAAGGTTATTAATAGCTATAGCGTCTGTGTACAATCTTGAGATACATCAAATGGATGTCAAGACTGCATTTCTAAATGGTGAATTAGACGAAGAAATATATATGGATCAACCTGAAGGTTTCATTGTCAAGGGTCAAGAAAAGAAAGTTTGTAAGTTGATTAAATCATTATATGGACTCAAACAAGCGCCTAAGCAATGGCATGAAAAATTTGATCATAATATGATTACGAATGGATTTGTAATCAATGAAAGTGATAAATGCATTTATGTTAAGAAAACGAAAAATGCTTGTGTTATTGTATGTCTATATGTTGATGACATGCTTATAATGGGAACAAACAAAGATGTGATTAACTCCACAAAGAAAATGCTAAATTCCAGTTTTGACATGAAAGATATGGGATTAGCTGATGTGATTCTTGGAGTTCGAATTCTAAGGAATCCAGATGGATATGTCCTAACTCAATCACATTATGTGGAAAAGGTTCTAAGAAGGTTTGGACATTATGATTGTAAACCTGCAGTAACTCCTTTTGATCCCATTCATAAACTTACTAAAAACGAAGAAGAGAGCGTATCTCAATTGGAGTATACCCAAGTTATAGGTTGCTTGATGTACATTATGAATTGTACAAGACCTGATCTTGCTTATTCAATAAGCCGACTAAGTAGGTATTCAAGTAATCCTGGAAGAGATCATTGGAATGCTTTAATAAGGGTATTAAGATATTTAAAGCATACACTAAACTATGGTTTGCATTACACTCAATATCCCCCAGTATTAGAAGGATATAGTGATGCAAATTGGATTTCAGGGAGCACAGACAGTAAATCCACAAGTGGATATGTATTTACACTTGGTGGAGCAGCTGTGTCATGGAAATCATCCAAGCAAACATGTATAGCACGTTCGACAATGGAATCAGAGTTTATAGCTTTAGATACAGCTGCTGATGAAGCTGAATGGCTTAAACATTTTCTGGAAGATATTCCATTCTGGCCCAAGCCTGTGACTGCCATATGTATACATTGTGACAGCATGGCTGCACAAGGTCGAGCCAAAAACGCTGAATATAATGGGAAGTCGAGACATATAAGGCGACGACATAAAACCATTAGACAATTACTCAAGAATGGAACTATTTCCATTGATTATATTAAATCTAAGGAGAATATTGCCGATCCTTTGACAAAAGGCCTATCCAAGGATCAAGTGGCATTTACATCGAGGGGAATGGGTTTAAAGCCAACTCAATGAGTTATAACTTGACGGAAACCTAACCTAGCTAATTGGAGATCCCATGGTCTAGGTTCAATAGGCAAACTAGTTGAGGAAAACTCAAAGTAAACAACACAATCTTTACTCATTCTTATGATGGAAAACAGTGTGTTGCCTGTTAGACGAAAAGGGTGAATAACTATTCTTAATAATGCTAATATCTTATGATTAAGATGAATAGAACAGGATATTCTTCATTAGCATTACCTATATGAGATTGATGTGGGGTCGCATCTTTGAGAATTGGTATGGCTACAATTCTCTAAAGGTCTCATGAAACCAGGAAATGTTCAGGACCAAAATGAACACAACCGTATGAATTGACGTGTGTCAAGATGTGATATGTGTGATACTTATTGTTTCGATTTTACTACAAAGAATGATCAGTTCAAGATAGAAAATTCACTGCTTCATTAGGTAAAACCGGTAAGTACTCACTAGAGAAGGTTCAAGTCCAAAAGACACCTATCCCGATGCGTATCATATCTAAGTTCTCTGGAAGTACATTACTAATGTCACTAGTATCTTATTTTCAATTCAAATGTGGGGTATTGCTAAAGTTTGAATAGAAAATGTGGGGTATTGTTGGAACTGTGTTTTCTGTGGGACTTGGAGTCCCACATCGCCCAAACATGTCTCTCATTAAGTCTTTATAAGTGAGTTCACTCACTTATAGTTTGAAAAGAATTGGGCCAAAGCCATGGACCTTGGGCCTTAGAATTGGAGAGTTTGGGTGTATATATTAAATGTCAAAGATGGGCCTTGGGCCTTGGGGCTCTTGGGCTCGGATGGACGAAAAACACAAGTTACGTTTTTGATTTTTTGGATTCAGTTTTTGACAGTTATGATCAGTTTTTGTGAAAGGTTGCATTCAGTTTTCTTTTTACAAAAATTTGATAAGAATGAACGGTTGGAGAAGTTCAACTGATGCCATTATATATATGGCAATAAAACTCAGAAACCATAATTAAGTTTTCCAGATTCATTCCTTCATATTTCGCTGAGAACCACACAACCAATTCGCCAAGAATCCAAGTTCGAGTGCAAGAACTTGGATTAGATAGTTGTATCCTGCAAGATAGACGTCCATCGAACTGCTGCACAAGTGTAGGGACGAGTTTCTGTCTTAGGAGATTGCTCTGCAAGCCTCTATCGTCAAAGAACAAGTCAGTGATTTGTGTTTCTATATATAATTACACTAAGTGTTTATGTTTTAATATATTGTGTTTGTTGTTGAGTTTTACCATTTGTAATAAAACTGTGCAAATTGTTGTATAATATATGCTTAACGTTTGATTGGTTATAACAAATGCAACCATTAGAATCAACAAGTAGGGCTAATATCTGTAAATTGTGAATAGAAGGTTAAGTTGTTTTAAGTGGGGAAGAGCATGGTAAGTAACATACTGCTTCCCTTAGGTGGTAGTGTGGGATTTGAGGGAAGAGATGATGGATAACATGGGTGCCGATGTCATGGTGGATGTTGTTGAACATTCCATAATCGCGATCAACGGTTGTAAGGCCTCCTCGTAGATAACTCCATTCCTGCAGAATTAAAACCATGAGAGGAAATATAGCTTCTTAATTAAGAGTCTTAATTGATTTAACCCTTCTGATAAGATCTTCACTTGCAGCATGTATGATCAATGTAGTAGGGTTAATGTATCAGTTTTACCTTGCCGCGGTACCAAGGAAGTTTTTCGTCATAACCATGGTGATGCAGATATGTGACCATGTCCAACCACATTACGAAAATCTGCAAGTCGAAGTTGATGAGAATAAGGAAAGAAAAAAAAACTGTATGCAAGTAAGTGCAACTTATCAGGAATAAAAATTGGACTAACCCAGTAAGGGACACCATAAAGCTTGAGGATTTCGACAGGGCCTACGACAAATGACAGATAAACAAGCAGGGAAACCATCATAGTCCAGCAAGTAGTTGATGTTATCACATCTCTCCTTTCATTTGGGGCAAACAAGTCACTGTACGGATTGAAATGAGAACCTTGCTTTCCTGGACTTCTAGTCCACTGATAGCGAAAGGCAACCCAACCAAAAAAAGGAGGCAAAATTTAGCTTCATGAACCATCAGAAACACACAATTTTGAATCTAAACACTACATGACGCTCAGTTTTCTTCGCCTGCACGCCTCTTGTTTCTCGCCCTTGATTCTTCTTTGATTTATTCAATCAAAAGGCTCGAACAAAAGGGAGAAGTGCGGGGAGAAAACAGGAGAGCGAAAATCACTCTTCCGAAAACATATGAGCAATAAAAGATGGGTTTTTCTCACCAGATAGAAAGGATATGCAAAAATGGGGTAAGGCACCCTGAATCTGAATTTCAGGGTACTTTCATCGAGACTCGAATAAACCTTCTCAGTCAGCTATATCCATAAAGATAACAACAAACATACAGGTTAATCAATTACTAATTGAAAATTAAGTAAAGCCGCATCAGCAGATTTAGATTCCAGAACTAATTATTTCTGTTGTGCAAAGTAAGAGCATTATGATTAACAATAGATGAACAGTTTGAATTAAGAGAAGCACTTACAGGAACCCATGACTCATCGTTCTCAACATGTCCATGGTTCTGATGGTGAGTTCTGTGGCTAATTCTCCTGAAGAAATCGCATGAAAATCTACTCAAAATTTAAATCCAAGATTAAAAAAATCAACAACAGTTTCAAAAGGAAAGGCTAAAAGGTCAAAAATAGAAAGAAATAAACAGGGTAGTGATTTTCACGCTCTCGTTTTCTTGTGCACTCCTCTTGTTTCCGTCACTTATACTCCTTCGATTTATTCAATCCAAAGGCTAGAACAAACGGGAGAAATGCAGGGGAGATAAAACTGGAGCACGAAAATCACTTCACAGAAAAAAATCATTTGAAGCAGGTTATGAAGCAAAGAGGTTTATGAGGAACCCACCATCCATTATAAGGTACAAGAATTGCAGAATGCAATATATGCCCCACAACACTGTTCAAAATTCTACTGTCTGAAAAGCTTCCATGGCCACTGTTCAATCCAAAAACCAATCACATTAGATGCAAGCAGATGCAGAAAATGGAGGATGAAGTGAGCGAGTGAGTGAGTGAGAATTACCAATCATGTCCGAGAACAAAGACAGCCCAGAACATGGTTCCCTGAGCAGCCCAGTACAAAGGCCAAAGATACCAACTTTCCAAGTAAATGGCAGCAGCTGCCATTGCAGAGATCGCAAACAAATCCCTGAAAACATAGCTCAGAGACCTCCATGGATCCTTGACCCAGCAGTGTTGGGGAATGGCAGCTCGGATCTCAGCTATCTTGAATGGAGGAGGGACACTTGGGTCGAAATCTGCTTCGTCATGGTGGTGGTTATGGATCCCATTGACGCCATTGATGGGCTTGCTCTGCTGCTTCTGAGTCTGAGTTTCCACCATTGTAGCAAAAGTTGAATCCTTTGGTGGAGGAGGAGGAAACCACTGGCTCAAAATCTCTGTATCCACTGTGGAGCAGACAAGAGGGCTGCTACTGGCAGTGAGGTTAAGATCAGAAAGTTTATATTTATAAGCGTAAGCACAGTGGTATGGTGGGTGCCCCAGGGTACACCTTACCATACACCCTAGAGAAACTAAGGTATTTCATTGTGACAGTATCTTAGATCAATAGAATCCTTTTGTGGCAGTATTGTAGATCAATAGATAGCCCAAACGATAATTTTCGGAGTCCATGCTTTACATTTTGCACTTCATGCATGATAGTAGTACATAATTGATTTGAAAAACCAGCACAATCAACATCTCATTGCATAGAAAAGAACCTTACATACAATAAAGATAGTACATAATTAATTTAAGATACCATCATAATGAGATGAAGTTCTTCTTCAAACGGACACAAAAAACTCTATGCTTGGATGAATAAGGTGCACCATTAATGGGCTAGATAATATGGTTGCATGATGAATGCACAGAACGAGAGTACACAATTAATGGGCTGGATAATATGGTTGCATGTTGCATGATGAATGCATAGAGCGAGAGTACACAATTAATGGGCCGGATAATATGGTTGCATGATGAATGCACGGAGCGAGAGTACACTGCACCATTTAGATAAAAAAATAAAATAAAATAAAAATTAAATTAAATTAAAAACTATTTACAAAAGATATCATTGTGTAGTATCTAAAGTCAAATATGCATTGTTATATATTTTAACTTTTCAGTATGACAATATGTGATTGGTTTAAAACATCTCGTTGCATGAAAGTATTTCATCACGTAAGCAAACACGTACAAAAAAAGATCCCTACGCTTGGTCATGGTGCACTTGTACATTTGTTTGTGATACGAAAAGAGAAGAAAGAAAAATCAAAAGATGGAGTAAAAGGGTGGTCATCACACTCATCACTCATTCCAGTCATCAAGAAATTTGCATGTCTTTTGGTCACAAGTTGTGGCCTTTCGGCCAAATCTTACCTCCAAAAATTGAACATGAGGCAGCCTGCCATGTGCAATTCTCCACCAAAGCCTGAAAGCCTGCTGGGTTACTTGTCCATACTACGCCCATTGCCCACTACCCTTTGGTTTCTAGCTGCGGCCAATGAATGGACCAAGACCTTTTTACTAAGACTAACTCTAACCCTTGGAGTAAGTTCTAAATTTTCTCTTCTAATCCCCCCATTTCAGTCCAACCCTTGTTCTAAAATGGGGTTAAGTCTTAAAACTAAAAAAAAAAAGCCAGATTTAGGCCAAGGTTAGTGGTGGAGGCCACATGTGAGAGTGGAAAACGGGATGTGAAGCCCAGTTGCCCTAGACCCATGTTCGGATGCAATTGCACGTGCCAGCCCAGCACCAGCTGGACCCCACCCACGTGGGCATGTCCTCCTCTTGTTGGCCACAACAATGAGCCCAACAGTTCTTTTCTCTGATCCAACGGTCCAGATTTATATTTGTTTTTTTTTTTAATTTGTTTTATATTTATAATTTCATTGAATTCAACTGCTGATATCTAATATGATCAAATCCAACGGTATAAAAAAAAGATCTAACAGCCCAAATTTAAATCTAACGGTTAAAAAAAGTATTTAACTCAAAATTCATCCAAATTTAATGATTTTTCAATATTTATCGGAATCTAAATATTTTTAGGTTAAAATGTTCATAAGATTAAATTAGGATAGTGTACATAATTTTTCTTAAAAAAAAATTAGCCCAAATTTATTCTTTAATAACCTTGTGCTAAAAAACTTAGGCCTGAAGGGTTGGTGAAGAAAAACTATTTATGCGATAAAACCTAAATTTTCTAGGTTAAAAATTTTAGATTTTACTCCAAGGGTTGGAGAGGTTGGAGATGGTCTAAGGGATTCAATACCAATGAGTAGCTACTATCTCTAATCATGAAATGTTAGGCTTTGCTTGATGGTTTATTGGATGCTTGCTCCAGAGGAGGTGGAAGGTGACTCAAAGATTCTCACTGATTCCATCAATGGTGGCTCAAAACCCTTCTCTCCGGTATTCAAAAGTCAGCTTGCCACTTTTCAGAACATATATTTTTCTGTATTTTTCGGAAGGCAAAATGCGGTTGGATTGGTCAAATTTTGTGCCATGCTTTCGTGGCACCCTAGGGACTTTTCTAATAATTTATTTTTTCTTATTAAAAAATAGTTTTTTGATTTTCAAGTGAATTTTTTTTCGTTCTAGAATGGTAGCTAAAATCATAATTTTCAGACACGTTTGTACATCAGTTAAGTTTTTCATCAGAACTTTCATTAATTAATGACGTGACATCTACTTGAACAATAATTAAACGTCACGTGTTAACGTGGGCGGATATTAAAAAAAAGGGGCTTTTAGATCTAGGCCCAAAAACATAGATGGTTTTTAGGAGTGAGTCCAATTATCTAATTACATGTTTTTATTTCTTTTATACTCATTTTATATTTTTTAAAAATATTAAAAATCAATTAAAAATCTTCTAATATTATGCATTTTTTAACTCCAAAAAATCTAATTAATATCTTACAACAACAAAAACTAATATACTAACATAAACTATCTACAAAACATTCTACCTTAACTCAAGTAACAAATCTATGAATATATATTATACCTGTAAGCGAGATATGAAACCTAACTAAAAGGTAGGAAAAAACATAATATACCTACAAGCAAGACACATTAATTTGTGACACGTTGATTATAAAAAAGAATTTGTCATATAGATACATAAAAATAATTAACCTGTGATATAGGTGGATTATAAAAATTAAAAATAAAATCTATAAATGGGGTTTAAAGAAGGAGGAAGAACAGGAAATAATAAAAATATAAAAATAAAAGGAAATAATCAAAGAGATAATTAGAAAGAAATTTGATTTTTATAATAAATCTTATCATTGAATAGATAATTATTGATAATAAAATAATTAAATTTAAGGAATTTGACTTATTTTAATAAATTGAACTAATTCTACTGTTGGTTAAAAAAATTGGATTTATATCAAGTTTCCTCTAAAAAAAAAAAAAAAAAAACTCTCTTCTCCTCCTTCTCTTCCCCGATCTGTCCAACTCCTCCCTCTTCACCCCCTCCCTTCTTTCTCCACAGATCAACCTTCACCCACCCTAACCCAAACTACGCCGCCCTCGTCGCCTTCCTCACCGCCATCGCCCAAACCCTAAACCTCTACGGCTGGGGTTTGTTTTGGGAGACATCATCGTCCAAAACCACCGCCACGGCCACCACCGCCACCACCGCAGAAAAGCCCATCAAGATCCAACACTTTGACTACGGTGATCTTGTTGCCGCCACCAATGGCTTCTCCAACCATAAGCTTTTGGGCAAAGGCAGCCTGGCTACGTCTACAAAGCTATGCTCCGTGGCCGTCTATTTACTGTCAAAAGACCCTCCAGAGCTCACAGCCAGACTCTCCGACCCAACTCGTGTTCTGGGCCGGAGACCGCCAACGAGGTCGACAACGAGATCCAGATCTTGTCCAAGATTCAGAGTCCAAGGCTGGTCAATCTTTTGGGGTTTTCGAATGATTCGAAAGACAGGCTTTTGGTGGTGGAGTTCATGAGCAACGGTACGCTGTATGATGTTTTACATTCCAGTGCGAATCAGCCTCCTAATTGGGGTTGTAGGATTAAATTAGCTTTGCAAACTGCTAAGGCAATTGACATTTTATATTCATCGAGCCCACCTGTAATTCATAGAGATTTTAAGTCTGCAAATGTTTTGATTGTTCGTAATTACAATGCCCGGTTGGGGGTTGTGAGAAACTGAGGTCTTCAGTGGAGTACTGGGGTTTGCAACGACTTGTCTCCTTTCGAACATTTCAGATCTGGAGAAGCGAGGATGTGTTGGAGACGGTGCTCAAGGAACGACCACAGAGGTTTAGGGTTTGGGCGATGACAGTGAGGAAAGCGACGGGGGCGGCATAGTTTGGGTTAGGGTGGGTGAAGGTTGATCTGTGGAGAGAGAAAGGAGGGGGTGAAAAGGGAGGAGTCGGACAGACCTGGGAAGAGAAGAAGGGGAAGGGAACAGTTTTATTATTATTATTATTATTATTATTATTTAATATCCACGTTGGCCCATATTGACACGTGACGTCTAATCATTGCCTACGCACAACGTCATTAATTAACGGATATTCTGATAAAAAACTTAACGGATATATGAAAATATTCCAAAGTTATGACTTTAAGTACCATATTACGACGAAAAAAACTTCATATATCAAATATTAAAAATCAAGAAATTTAATTAACCCTAAAAAATATACAAGACTTCAAATACCATTCAGGCGCACTAAAAAATAAAGCTACTATTTAAACTATCTCAAAAGCAAGTTATCGCTAACACGCGTAAATTGTTTCAGTTCAGATTTTTTAGGAACATTGCTATATTTTCTTATAATAGGCTAAAGCAGCAACATAAGTTTAAGGTGAGACGTGCATGTATGAGAATAACATCTCTAGCAAACTAACTAAACTATCTTGTACGGTTATTTTAATTCAAAAATCACGAAAAATAATCTAAAACTAACAAACAATTTTTCTTGCTAAAATAACAAAAATATTACTGACGTTGTTGAAAATGCCGGACTTACTTTCAGAAGAGTCTAAATGCCAGTTTTGTACAGAAAATGCCATTTCATCCACAAATTTTCTCAGAAGTGAGCAATGGGTAATGGTGTGGGAAGAATCGCCACATTTGAGCGATAGGGTTGGATGAATGCTTCACTACAACGTGGCTGTGTGGCTCTCGCAACATGTATCAATAAAGATAGAGCATCGAGGTTTCACGATGTAGAAGAAAAGAGATAGAAAGTTCAGAAGATATTTAGATCAGAATAAACTTTTTCTATTACATTTTTCAAAAGAGGGGTCATGGGAACTTGAATTCAGATCCTCTTCAGATTTTGTTGTCCAAAGTTGATGGACTGCATAATTCGAACCGGTTATAAAAGGAAGAGAGAGATTAGACTTTTGGTTTTTATGTGGGCCAGCAAAATGAACTAATGAGACTGTAAAATTTAAAATAAGAGATTTGAATTCCTCAGTTTGTCGGCTTCAGAATATAAGATCAGGAGATGATCTAGATTATGGGAACTTGGACATGCCTTCCTTCATCTTCAAGTATGTGTTGGCAGCCTTGGTCTGCGGTTATGCCTATTCCTGAGACATTTTTGCAGATTACACTTAGCACCAATATGGTTGGATGCCCCATGCAACCGAAAGTGTGTTTTTATTTTTGTATTTTTTGAAACCATAGAACAAGTAAATTAAAATACATGAGTTTATCAGTCATGTAATAACTTCATAAAACCCAAAGAATTATTGGTCGCGTATGTAAACAGAGGCATTTTTTTTTAAATATATTTTTACGGATCAT